AACGTTCAATAACTCGGTGAAAAAAAATCGTACAACAATCAATAAAAAAAGAAATTGAAGGTAAAGATTTACTCTTTCGACTGCAAACCACATTTTCGTGTTATTTTTACCTCACGCCATAGACCTTTGTAAAGTGTGTACAAAATTATACGATATGTTTTAGATTTGACAAATATCCATTTGTGTCCGTATAGCTCCGTCAAAGATCAGTTAGATTGAAATATCAATTACTGATTTTGAAAGTAGAGATTTCAACCTTTAAAATGCTTTTTTAAAAATCTCATTATGACCATTTTTGACGAAGTTACTGTAACCTGAAGTTAAAAGATCATTATGTGATGTCTTTTTTGATCAGAATTTTCGAAGTGCTCTTGCCATTTTCTGAAAAATAGTGGTTACCGCCGACATTAGCGTAACCCATTGTGTACTACGTGGAGGTTGTCGGTCGGAATTTGCACATCGTGCGTGTGTGTATGTGTGTGTGTGCGCGCGCGCGCACGTGTGTGTGTAAGGTGATGAGATGAGCATTTACGTGTATGAGGGTGTATTTAATATTGTGTGTTTCCTCCTCTCTGATTGATGACCGCTTGCAATCGTTGTCGCATGTTTACACATCTCTGGATGAAGGCTACTGGAATTTCGTTCCAAATCTGCCTAAGCGCTTCTCGCAGCTCATACAAATTTCGTGGCTGTTCTTCGCGTCTTAATCGTCGTTCCATCTCGTCCCAAATGTGTTCAATCGGATTCAAATCCGGGCTATTAGCAGGATGATGGAGCAATGTGATGCCATGTCGCTCAAAAAACCGCTGCGTTACATTTGCCGTATGGGGCCGAGCATTGTCCTGCATGAATATAAAATTTCGACGTAACAGATGCTGCAGAGGCAAAACTTGAGGCCGGAGAACATTATTCACGTAGCGAATAGCCGTCATTGCTGGAGGTGGCAAAATTACTAATTCAGTTCGTCTCGTCATCGAAATGCATCCCCATACCATCACTGAACCGCCGTTATGAGCTTTTATTCGCATAACGCAGCGTCGATCATAACGCTGTCCTTGTCGGCGCCAAGTGCGTATGCGAGCATCATTGCCATAAAGGCAGAAACGCGACTCGTCCGAAAAATAAACGTTTCTCCATTGCCTCACGGTCCAATTTATGTGATTTTGGGTAAATTGAAGACGAGCCTGACGATGTGCAAGTGTAAGTCTTGGCACCTGTGCACGAGAGCGAGAACGAAGACCCACCTCTCTTAAGCGACAACGAATCGTTTGTTCGCTGACATGATGTAAAGTAGGAACTTTACGTCAAACATACCTTGCAGTAATCGTTCGTCTTCTCAAAACGTGGCGAACAATTTCTCGATCTTGTCGAACTGTTGTTATACGATGACGGCCATTTCCTTGACGTCTCGTGTATTGTCCTGTCTCTTGATATCGTAACCACGCTCTATTTATTACAGGTACGGATACACCGACACGTTGCGCTACATAACGCATACTGTACCCTTCTTCCAGAAGTGCGATTATGCGGGCAACTTCGAATGCTGGCAAGTGTCTGCGCAGCATTTAAAAAATTTGCAATATGCGACTATTTTTGTTACAAAGAGCGAACTTCTCAATAGCCTCAATCGAGAAAAGAGAAGACTTGAAGTTCGCACTAAGCGAGTTCGAAAATATGCGTCTATAAGCGAGTTTTGCGTTAGCGCCAATTTCAAGTCTTCTTCTTTCGCGCTAACCCAAAACTCTCGTGATGCACATTGGGTTATGCTAATGTCGGCGGTAACCACTATTTTTCAGAAAATGACAAGAGCACTTCGAAAATTCTGATCAAAAAAGACATCACATAATGATCTTTTAACTTTAGGTTACAGTAACTTCGTCAAAAATGGTCATAATGAGATTTTTAAAAAAGCATTTTAAAGGTTGAAATCTCTACTTTCAAAATCAGTAATTGATATTTCAATCTAACTGATCTTTGACGGAGCTATACGGACACAAACGGATATTTGTCAAATCTAAAACATATCGTATAATTTTGTACACACTTTACAAAGGTCTATGGCGTGAGGTAAAAATTACACGAAAATGCGATTTGCAGCAGTCGAAGGAGTGAATCTTTACCTTCAATTTCCTTTTTTATTGATTGTTGTACGATGTTTGTCCACCGAGTTATTGAACGTTAAAGTAGAAGTGATCACTTTTGCTTCATCATTCAATAATTCGGTGAAAAAAAATCGTACAATGTTTAATAAAAAAACAAATTAAAGGTAAAGATTCACTCTTTCGACTGCTGTAAACCGCATTTTCGTGTAATTTTTACCTCACGCCATAGACCTTTGTAAAGTTTGTAAAAAATTTTTAGATTTGACGGATATCCATTTATGTCCGTATAACTCCGTAAAGTATCATTCATATTGAATTTTCGATTATAGATTTCGAAAGTAGAGATTTCAACCTTTAAAATCCTTTTTTAATTTTTTGTCTGCGATGATTTTTCATTGAATTATGGTGTTCTGAATATTGCTCAATTTTTAGCGTGTTTGAAAGTGTTCCCTAGATTTTGTTGAGTAGTGTATATCATTGCAGCCACTTGTGGGACACCGCCAAGGACTATACCCGAACCTCTCTATGTTGATGCCAATCCTCAATGTGACAAGTCTTCAGTGCAGTGCACTAATAACGACAATGAAGGTCTTAGAAGGTCAAATCATACAAGGTATATTCATTATTGTGTGACTACATTTATTATTGACATATAATTAAATATAGTAATGTTAGTGGTTACATTTTAGTAATATTAATGATTCATTATGTACCTTTGCAGCCACTTGTCGAACACCGCCAAGGACTATACCCGAACCTCGATACGTTGGCGATATCTGTACTCCACACTTATCTACACCTCGAAGAGCAAAACGAGCTGTAGCTTTGGCAAAAAGAGTTCTCGCTCAACGCACGAGGACTATTAAGACGTTGCAACAATCACAGAACAGATTAAATACACGTATTAAATGTATGAAAGATTTAGTCAGCGAATTGAAAAGGAAGAATTTAATTTCTGAAAATGCTTTCGACAGTTTAATGGTATGTCTATACAACGTTAAGCCTGTATAAAATTACGCATTGAAGATTGAAGTTTGAATAAAATTGGATTAATCAAAAGAAAAAGGTTCATATTTCTTTGTCCTTAGTTAAATGTTGATTATCAAATTTCATTCTTTAATTTTCACTCTCAATCTTCAATACATAATTTGACGGACATAAAAAGGTATTGTTGCAATTTACTTGTTTCAGAATTATCCACAGAAACTTCGAAAAGTAAATTACAATTATATTTTTCTATCAGTAATCTAATTTACAAATTTAGGCAGACAATCCTGATATTCTGCATGAAGTACTAAAGAGGAAGAAAGGCAAGAGGAAAAAATACTCGGCAGAATTAAGAGCGTTTGCACTGACGTTAAATTTTTACTCTTCGAAGGCTTATGCGTATGTAACAAAAACATTCAAAAACCTTTTACCAGAAGCTTCGACTATCCGTAAATGGTATACCGTTTTAAATGGGCGATCCGGATTTACGGACGAAGTGTTTAAAGTTTTAAAATGCAAAGTACAACAAAGTAAAGTACTAATTCTCTGCAACATTGTGATCGATGAAGTTGCAATTCGACAGCATATTGATTATGATGGGAACCGATATTATGGATATGTCGATCTGGGTGTGAATAAATATGCTGACTCTGATCACCCTCCGCAAGCAAAAAATACATTAGTTTTTATGGCTGTTGCGATAAATGATCACTGGAAAGTGTCGTTAGGATATTTTTTAATACAATCGCTAAGTAGTAAAGAGAGAGCTAGCTTATTAGAAAAATGTTTAGAACTGATTCATGAATCAGAAATTATAGTAAGATCAGTAACGTTTGATGGAGCCAGTGTTAATATTAGTATGTATAAGTCATAGGTGCTAATTTTGATATTGGTAAAAATTTCAAACCATACTTCATAGACCCGGCAACTGGGAAAAACATTTATTGCTTTTTTTATCCTTGCCATATGATAAAATTGATAAGAAATGATGTAGGAGAAATATTAATATCAAAAAATAATGATGAAGATATTTTGTGGGAGAATATCGTTCTTCTTCAAAAATTGCAGGAACAAGAAGGTCTAAAAGCTGCGACTAAATTAACGAAGAAGCATATCGCTTTTCGAGCAAATAAAATGAACACAAAACTAGCAGTACAAACACTCAGCGAAAGTTTAAATTGTGCTTTACAGTTCGTTCTAAAATGTTATCTGAATTATTTAAAATCTCCAAAACAGACTGCACAATTTTGCAAAATATTTAATGATGCATTTGACTTGTTAAATGTGAAGTCTAAATTTTCAAAACTTAAAAATTGCAATATGGCACTTACCGAAGACAATTTTGATGAATTAAAAAGTTATGTTGACATATTGAAAAGTATATTCTGCAGATAAAAGATAATAAAAATATGTCTATATTATTCGGTAATCGAAAAACTGGTTTCCTCGGCTTCATCGTGTGCTTGAGAAATATGTTCAATTTATTTAAAGAATTAAAAAGTCATGGTTTAAAATATTTATTAACATTTAAATTGAATCAAGACCATTTGGAAACTTTTTTTAGAGCACTTCGAAACAGAGGGGGATTCAATAACAATCCCAGTGCAAAACAGTTCGAGAGTAGCTATAAAAGATTATTAAGTTCGGCATGAAATAGCTGCATCCGAAAATGGTAACTGTGTAATTAATGATATTCCGATTTTGCATGTGACGTCAGTGGAAAACAATATCAAAAATGAATCTTCTGACGAAAGCGAAGAAAGCGAGATTTCTGACAATTTATTTGACCATGACTACTTATCCACTTTATGGTCATTGAGTCCTTTTGTTGAAGATGTAGTGGCACATATTAGTGGATTTGTAGTCAGGAAATTGCTAAAAAATAAAAATATATGCGATGTAAGTACGACATTTTTAATATGTAGCAACGCCGTTTCGAATTTAACTAGTATTAAAAATAGAGGAAATTTAGTATTTCCGACAGAAGATGTTATTAAAATATCAAGATCTGCAGAACGTATTATTCGAGAAAATAGTAGTATCATTTTTTTTTACGAAAAGAAACATTAATAAATTTTTAACTAATAAAGTATTTCATATTGTTCATAATCAAGTGTTCGTACATAGTAATATAATCAGCCATATATTGCAAAAAGATAACGGCGATCCACTTGGATATTATCCAAGATTTCATAATGAGATTTGGCTATTGTGTGGGTGACTCGTTACTTTATTGGTTAAATTTCAATATCTTTTGTATATGAATTTAAAACAGATAACACTACAGTTTTGACAACCTGCAAGTAACTCTACATCGAACGTTCGCGAAATCTAGTATGGTTTAAGAAAATTGCTGATGAAGATTCCAAAGAGAATCAAAACGTTCACAAGATTTCAAATAAAGAAGATATCAACAAATCGTATGGATCAACAAAATTATTTGTGAAAGATTTATTGCGCTGACTCTCATTAATCCAGATTTAGGTTGTTTTTGTTATTATTAATAATTTTGTTTTTGAAACTTTGTCCATTAACAGATTTTTAAATGCGGATGTGACAGTTAGAAAGAAACATTTTATACAAAATATCGACACGGAGCGTAGTTATCATAAAGGCAACATCATTAAACATGTTTTTTTTTATATTAATCTTTCATCGTCGAATACATACCATACATGTCGAACCATTATTTTTTCTACAGTTGTCGATTTTAAGGTACACGAATAATTGCAATTGTTATACGAAAATATAATATTTGACCTTATACAGATAATTAATTGAACTACTTATATCACAAAAGTATAATAAGGGAAAAAAAGAGAAAAACAGGATTTTCGCGTGGGACTATCAGCGTACTGTTCGCGCGTTTTAGTTACTCAGCCGCACCGATTAATTGATGTTTACTAGTGCGGTATAGAATCCACACGGTGAACGCTCTCGTGTTCTCGTATTCTCAAGAATCTCGGGTTATCGATGCAACGTGCGATATTGTTACCAAAATATCTCTCTCTTTCTCTACTTTCCTGTATATTTTAAATCTCCAGATATTAATCGAAATAAAGTGAGGTGCATTAAATATTATTGTAATGCGTACTTCTACGAAACACGCAACATTAAAATTTGTGAATGTGATAGTAGGGTAAGGTTGCCGAAATCGCACCATTTTTCATATAATGGCTTATAACTCGGAAAGTAAGAAGGATATTCTCAATTTTTTTGCGGCGTAATAAACTGCAAGCTTTTCCCTTTCATATGTAATTTTTTCAGATTTTTTTTCTATTATTATAATATTTTAAATGAAGATTTTTAACATACTTGTAAATAGTGCGATTTTGAAAATACGTTGCCTAAATCGCACCATAGGTTGTTGAAATCGCACTTCTATTACAATATACATTTATAATATATATTTTTACATAATAAAAAAAGAAATAAAATGTAAAAAATATAAGTAAAATATATGTAGAAATTATCTGTGAACCTCACTCACCTGAAAGAAATGATTTCAAAGATCTTTGGTCCGCCAAACGTACATGCTTATTGTAGAGGTTATGGTTATGTCGCACCGACATGCATTGTGGTTATGTGTACGTCCCGTGTTGCCATATGCACGGTGCGATTTAGGCCACTACATTGTGGTGCGATTTAGGAAACAGTAGCATTTTGTAAAACTTTATTTATTTAATTTACAAACAAGATTGTTAAAAAAATTTTAATTCAATTAATCTAATTCTAATAGTGTTCCAAACACGACAAATTGTAGAAAAGTAGATTATTTAACTTACATTTTTTATATTTCTGCTATGAAATATGTTGAAAAACAGCAACGCTATCACGATTTTTTTATTTACATAAATAACGAGGCTCCTACTGCATTTCATGTCACAAATGTAACGCAGCAGCGTTGAAATACCTTGTAGTTTGTAAATAATCCGTAAGAAAGTGTGTGAATAAAATAACTGATTTTTTAGGCGAGGTAGTGCGATCTAGGAGCCGGTGCGATATCGGCAACCTTACCCTATCTACTCTTGGCCAATATACAGGTTGTCTCAAAAAATGTAACTGAAACACAGTGGGGACATAGATTGGATCAAGGGGAACAAAACAGTTTTGTACCATTTTGCAGTTGACGCAATATTTAACGAGATATTAACGTTTAAAGATAGGCGAATACGAGCATCCGACCAGCCTACTGATCATGTACTGCTGCCGGCAGG